TCGCCTCTTTTATGTGAGATAATTTACCCCATTCTACCTCTCCCTTTCTTTTTTTTCCAGTACATTTCTTTCTCTCACCCCTTAATTTTATTTTTTAGATATCAACCCTTTATATTCAACTTACACCTGTACTCCACTGTCTATATATACTCCTTCTAACTACCCTAATAATGAGAAAGGTCTTATCATTTTCCTATGTAGGAATGTAAATAGTTTAACCTTATTAAGTCCCTTATGATTTCCCTTTCCTATTTACCTTTTTATGCTTCTCTTGAGTTTTAAAAGTCAAATTTTCTATTCAGCTCTGGTCTTTACATCAAGAATGCTTGAAAAGTCCTCTTTCACACTGAATATCCATTTTTCCCCCTGAAGGATTATACTCAGTTTTGCTGGGTAGGTGATTCTTGGTTGTAATCCTGAATCCAGATCAAAGGATCCTGTAATCCTGGATCCTTTGATCTAGATCATATCATATTCCAAGCCCTCTGATCCTTTAATGTAGAAGCTGATAAATTTTATGTTATCCTGACTGTGGCTCCACGATACTTGAATTGTTTCTTTCTGGTTGCTTACAATATTTTCTCCTTGACTGAGAACTCTGGAATATGACTATAATATTCCTGGAAGTTTTCATTTTGGGATCTCTTTCAGGAGATGATCAGTGGATTCTTTCAATTTCTATTTTACCCTCTGGTTCTAGAATATCAGTGCAGTTTTCCTTGATAATTTCTTGAAAGATGATGTCTAGGCTCTTTTTTGATCACAGCTTTCAGGTAGTCCAACAATTTTTAAATTCTCTGTCCTGGATTTATTTTCCAGGTCAGTTTTTCCAACGAGATATTTCAGTCTTCTATTTTTTTCTTTTGTTTTTGTTTTATTGCTTCTTGATTTCTCATAAAGTCATTAGCTTCCATTTGCTTCATTCTAATTTTTGAGGAATTATTTTCTTCAGTAAGCTTTTGGACCTCTTTTTGCATTTGGCCAATTCGGCTTTTTAAGGCATTCTTCTCCTCATTGGCTTTTTGGACCTCTTTTACCATTTGACCTAGTCTGTTTTTTAAGGTGTTATTTTCTTCAGTATTTTTGTGTGTCTCCTCTACCAAGCTGCTGACTCTTTTCTCATGATTTTCTTCATCTTGCATCACTCTCATTTCTCTTCCCAATTTTTCCTCTACCTCTCTTACTTGACTTTCAAAGTCCTTTTTGAGTGCTTCCATGACCTGAGACAATTCATATTTTTTTTTTGGAGGCTTTGGATGTAGGAGCTTTGACTTTGCAATCTTCTAAATGTGTGTTTTAATCTTCCTCGTCAACATAATAACTTTCTATATTCAAGAGCTTTTTCTGTTGTTTACTCATTTTCCCGGCCTATTACTTGACTTTTAACTGTTTGTTAAAGTAAGGTTTTGCTTCCAGAGTGGAGGGTGCACTGTCCCAAGCTTCAGGGGTTTTGTGCAGCTGTTTTCAGAGATACTTCTAGGGACCTGTAAGTTTTCACTTCTTCTAAGGTGGTATGATCTAAGGAGAGGTATTTACTACTCTCCTGCCCTGTGCTCTGGTCTATGAGCAACCACAAGCACTCTCTTCTGCCCTGGAACTGTGAGAAGGGTCCCCCTCCACTGTGGCTGCAAGCTCTGCTATACTAGCGCTCCTCCTTGCTCTGGGACAGTCTCCCAGGACTGGGACCTGGATCCAAGTATGGGCAAAGCAATACACTACTTCCTCAGTGCTAGCAAAAAGAACCCTGTAATCTCCTTCTGACCAGTTCTTCGACCCCCTTTACCATTTGTGGGCTGAGAGCTCCAGAAGCAGCCACTGCTGCTACTGCTGCTGATTCAGTCACTCTCAAGGCCTACTCCTACTTTGCCGCGGTCAGGGCTGTGCTGGCTCAGCCTATACCAGTCTGTGCTTCACTCTCACCCAAGCACAGCTCCTTCTTGCTGACCTTCTAAGTTGTCTTTGGCGTCTGTGGGATGAGAGGTCTGGAAACCGCCCCTGCTACCACTGATTCAGTCATCCCGAGGCCTGCTCTGGGTTTGCTGGGGCTCAATCTGCACTGGCATGGCGTGCACTGGGCTGTGCTTCTCTCACCCTGTGCAACAGACTTTTCCTGCCAACTTTCCAAGTTGTCTTGGTCTGGAAATTTATTTCACTCCATCTTTTTATGGGTTTTGCTGCTCTAGAATTTGTTTAGAGTCATTTTTTGTTTTTTTTTTGTTTTGTTCTTTTTTGGTGAGGCAATTGAGGTTAAGTGACTTGTTCACAGTCACACAGCTAGGAAATACTACGTGTCTGAGGCCAGATTTGAACTCAGGTCCTGCTGACTCCAGGGCCAGTGCTCTATCCACTGAGCCACCTAGCTGCCCCTAGAGCCATTTTTTAAAGGTATTTTGAGGGGTTTGGGGGAGAACTCAGGTGAGTCCCTACCTTTACTCTGCCATCTTTGGTTCCGCCCTCCACTAACCACTGTTAAATGTAGTCCTAGAAATGCTAGCTATAGAAATAAGACAAGAAAACAAATTAAGAGGACTTGGCAACTAATTGGCTCCAGGCAGTGAGTGAGGGTGATGGATGTTCCTAGGCTGGGAACCTGGGTGACTAGAAGAATAGTAACTGTCTAATAACTGAAAGGAAAAATGTAGTGACAATTTTTGTTAGGTAGACATTAAAAAAAGAAAAAAAACAGTTACTCTTAAGGAATTTGCCTCTCTTCAAAGCATGGGTTATACAAACACACTGAACAACATAACAGAGAAATAAGAACAAATGGGATTAGAAAAGAGTGTGTGGGGTTGTGTTTTTGGTTTTTTTTTTTAACAGACACAAGGTAAATTTATATAAATGCCTTGGGGGCAAGAACAAAGTCTTATTTATTTTTATATCTCTCCTAGGACTGGAAATGAGTTCTTAATAAATGTTGACCAAATAGATAGATAAAAAAAAGAATAGGTTTAATAATCAAAGTTAGTCAGTCAATAAGCATTTATTTATTAAGCTCTTACTATGTGCTCACACTGGCACCTTGCTAAGTGCTAGTGATATAAATAAGGTAAAAACATGGTCCCTGCTATCAAGGACCTCATGATCTAATGAAGGAGAAGCGTGCAAATAACTATGCACATATAAGACACATACTGTGCAATCATAGGGAAGGCATTGGCAGCAGGGGAGGGTTATTGTCTCCTGCAGAAGGTGGGATCTGAGCTGAGTCTTGAAGAAATCCAGATAAGCTAGGAGGTAGAAGTGAGAAGGGAGAGTAATTCCAGGTATGGAGATGGAATGTCATTTGTAAAGAAAAGCAAGAAGGCCAGTGTCACTGAACTGGAGGGAGGGGGATATGGGAGAGGGACACTAAAGTGTGAAAGGACTGGTAAAGAAAGAAGTAAACAGGCTCTGAAAGGCTTTGAATGCCAAACAGAAGACTGGGAGCCACTAAAGTAGTTCAGTTGGGGGTTGGGGAGCCCTGGAGGCAGGATGGAATAATCAGATCTGTATTTCAGGAAAATCACTTTGGCAGATGAGTGGAGAATAGATTAGAGTGGGGACAGACAAGGCAGGGAGAATAACTAGAAAGCTATTCCAGTTAAGTGGTCCAGGCATCAGGTGATGAGAGCTTGGTATCAGGGTGCAGTTATTCAACTGGGGAAAATGAGATGCATCCAAAAGATGGTGGAAGGTAAAAATAAGACCTGGCAACAGATTCTTGGCAAGAAACTGGATATATGGATTCAGTCTGAGGCAGGAGTCAAGAAATCCACCAAGGTTACAGGCCTGCCTACATGACTGGGAGGATGGTGGTAACCTAGACAGTAATAGGGCATTCCACAAGAGGGGAAGGGTGTGTGGGGAAAGATGAGCTCTGTTTTGGACATGCTGAGTTTGAGATGCCTGAAGAATATCCAAATAGAGATGTCCAAAAGGTCTCTATGGGGATGAGAGACTAGAGCTCAGAAGAAAGGTTAGAGATAGATATACAGTTCTGAGAAGCACCTTCATGGAGATAACTGAACCCATGGAAACCTCTTCCTATAACCCCACTGCTAATGCCTTCCCTCTGAGCTCATTTTCTACTTACTGCCTCTATATCCTCTATGAACAATTTTCTGCACACCGTCTCCATTCGAATGTGATCTCCCCAGGAGTAAGAACTGCTTTTGCCTTTCTTTGTATCCCCAGCACTTAGCACAGTGCATGGCACATAGTAAATGCTTGCTGACTAACTGATGAGACCACCAAACAAGACAGCATGGGGGAGAAGAGAAAGAGGTCCCAGAAGAGGCCTTGAGGGATATTTTAATGGATGATCTGGATGAGATACAGCAAAGCAGACTGAGAAAGAGAAGTCAAACAGGTAGGAGGGGAATATGGAGAAAATATTGTCAACCTAAGAATATCCAGGAGGTGGTGACTGACAGTGTCAAAGTCTGTAGAAAGGTCAAGAAGGCTGGAAATTGAGAAAAGGCCATTAGATTTGGCAATGAAGATATCACTAGTAACTTTGGGAAGAGCAACTTCAATTGAATGATGAAGCAGCAAGCAGTCACAGAAAGTTTAGAACAGAGTGAGAGAAGTAGGAGTGAAGGCAACTAGTGTAGACAGCTTTCTCAAGGAGTTAAGTTGAGAAGAGGAGGAGAGATAAAGGACAATAAAAGGCAGTTTTCTCTTATTAAAAAAAGTTACTGACAAAAAAAGAAAGAAAAGAGTAAATCTTTAAAAAAAAAATACACACACACACACACACACACACACACACACACACACATTCCTTCCAGACCCTGCAAGAAAATAAACTCCTTGACGGCAGAAACAATATCATTTTTGTTTCTATATCCCAGTCCCGGGCAGTGCTTTGTAAATAGTGGGCACTTAGTAAAATATTTGTTTAATCAATGTGGAAATGGTGAGTTGGGTAGGCACTGCTTACACAAGAGTGGGTCTCTGGAAGAAGGCAGCAACAAAAGGTATACTACATACAATCCATGTAAATTTACATACTTTACCTTTGTACATCATAGTTGGCATTAAAAAGACTCCCCTGCCATAAGCTGGTTATTTCTTCAGTCTCCTTTTCTGTGGGATTTCCTGATACTGTTGCAAACATCATAAGGGTTTTTCCCTTTTTTGTCATTTTCAATATGCTCTCTGGTTTGCCTGGATCAAATTGAGAGAAATCTATTGGTGCTGAAGGTCTTTTATGTTCAGGAAGGTCCCCTTCTTCTATATCATCATCTTTCTGTTGTGGAGGAAAAAAAATAGGAAAACTTTAAATGTGCTATTAAGAACTACTTCGTCAAACCTTATTGATTCTATTTTCTTTTTAAAATTGAGTGTTGTTCAACCACTTCTGCATATTAGGTTAAAGAGAGGTTTTTGACACAATATAATGGGAAGGAGGGAAACCTATTTTTAGGAAGTTTGGCTTTAGAGTGTCAAGTTTCAAGAAGTCTAACTTAACAACACATAGTAAACTTCAGGAGAATGATCTGTAGTCTCTTAAAGACTGAATCCAAAGAATGATTTACAATCCTACCTGTGTAATGTTAAATTGGTTAAACACCTCTACAAAGTTTGAGAAATTTTTCAGTTTCTGAGAAGAACACAATTTAGTTAAGCAGTGAGGAAAGGGCATTCCAGTAAGGAATGAAATTGTTACAGGAATAGTGAATAACTTGGCTATAGAGGTAAGTTCAAACTATCAAGCCACTAGTCAAGGGAAACTGTTATATTATCCCATGCATTTTATCCTTTAAATGATTAAAGTACAGCAGAGATTCCCTCTTCAGAATGACATTTAAGTTTCAACTTGCAAAGGGAACAAAATCACTCTAGCAAAAAGGGAACTGCATACACTGGCAACAAACAGAAAGAAGAGATGTCAAGGAATCTAAACTAACAGGCAATGAAGCAGAGAACACATGTAACTTTCTGTGAATTAAAGCTGAAATTATTTCTAATAAAGGCAATACACTTTAGACAGATTTGTTAAGAGGGTTGATTCAGTTTATCATTTAATTACAACATGAAGTCAATTATGTTTTTACATGGTTCAATCAACACATATTTGTTGAGCACCTAATTCCCTCATCATTTGTACACTCTCCCTCTCGAAATTACTTGTTTGTTATTTACTTACGTATGTGCACCCCTTTCGGTAGAACATGAACTCCTTGAGGGTAGGGATTCTTTGGACTTTGTTCCTCAGAGTCTAACAAGTGCTTCTCACAAAGTGGGCAACAACATGTAGTAAATGTATGCTAAGTGAATAGCTATATACGTGGACTTTGTTAAATGTTGTACGGAACACAAAAGCATATAGACTGCAATCCCTAGCCTTATAGTGTATTGCTGGAGGAACAAATCACAGGCATAAAAGACACAACTAAGACAACAGTCAAACAAGTGTTAAAAAGTGCTACACGCATTCAATAGATGGATCATTTCATCACTACAGGCTGGAGTCACGAGGAAAAGCTTCAGAGAGGACATGAAACCAAAACTGGGCCCTGAAGAACAGTCATGATTCTGAGAGGTATGAGAAGGTATTTCAGGCTAAAAAATTTGGAAAACATGAAAGGAACAAGCTTGTTATGGGAGCAGAAAAGAACATGACTACAGAGGTGAATTCTTGCGAGGGAATAAGAGAAGATAAAGTCAGACAGGTGGCTTCAGGCCAGATTGCACAGGGCCTTGAAAATCAGGTTAAGAAATTTGGGCTTGATTCTTTAAGGGTACAGAAGCACTGAAAAATTATGAGCAGTAGTGCCATAATGAAAATTGATATTTTAGAAAGATTATCCTGGTGGCAGAATGGAAGGTAGATTGGAAAGAATAGTTAGTAGACTTCAGTACTCAAGGCATGAAAAAATAAGGATCCAAGGTAGGGTGATAGCTGGAAGGGTATAAAAGGAGGGGCAATTATAAGTCAGTGAGTCAGTTAGTAAGTATTTATTAAACACCTTCTATGTGACAGGCATTGTGTTGAGTGCTGGGGATATAAAGAAAGGTCAAATGAGCTCTAATGAAGGAGACAATATGCAAACAACTATGTACAAACAAGATACATATAGGATAAACTGGAAATAGTAGAAAGGCAATAGAATTTAGAGGGATTGAGAAACGCTTCCTGTGGGAGGTGGGATTTTAGTGGGAAAAAGCACTAGGTTTGGAGTCAAAGGACCTAGGATTAGAATCACAAGACCTGGGTTCAAATTGCACCCTCGTCACTTATGATTTATGTGATGTTGGGTCAGATATTTAACCTCTTTAGGTCTCAATTTCCTCATCAATATAGTGATAGGTTTAGACCAAGGGCTTTTAAAGGCTTTGAAGCTAAAAGTCTATGATTCTCTGATGGGAAAAATCAATAGGACTTTGGAAATTGATTGAATTGAGTGGGGTAGTAGGGGGGAAATAATGAATTCAGTTTTTTAAACGTAAAATTTGAGGTGGAAGTGCATCAACTATTAACCAGGTTTTCAAAGTCATCCGAATGGATAACTGGAGCTCAAAAGAAATCTTAAGGCTAGAAATGTCCATTCAGACCAAAGGTGTCAGTTGAAGCCATACCAGTGGATGAAATCGCTAATGTTGAGAATATAAAAGAATTAAGAGACAAAGGAGAGAAAGAGGGGGAAACTTCAAATTTCAAAGAAAATGAAAAGACCAGATTTGATGGTTAGAAGATCACATTGCCCATGATTATACAGGTAAGCAAATGTAGCAGAACTGGGATTTGAACCCAAGTCCTCTGACTCCGAATCCCATATACTCTTCCCACTATACTACACTGTGATACATGATGGAATCTAGTGATTACATAGATTTTTAAAGTATGAAAATAAAAGTATCCTGAACAATGCTTATACCAAGCCAATGATGTCAGACTTGTGGGCTGACAAACACAACAGGGCCTTAGGCTATCCTCACTCAGTTTCTCCTATCTGTCTTGAATCTTCCATACATTTTTGATATAAGTGATTGAGGTCAACCTACAAAAGCATGAGTAAATGAAGTGGAGAAAAATAACCTACAACCAAAAAATAATCATCTTCATAAGAGCAATTTTTACCTTAAAAACTATCCAGGTATTTTTAGGATAGCAACTTACTGCTTAATTTGTTAGAGCCAAAATTTCTTTATGAAATAATAAATACTATACTTGGAATGTAGCCCTAACAAAAAAAAAAAAAAAAAAGCAAACGTTAAATGCAAATTTCCAAGTCTTACTCTAACATTTCAAGAGTAATTATGAAAAAGAAAACTGTTCTTATTAAATCTTATTAAAAGAGGCTTATAAAGAAAAAATAATTCTAAATAAACTGCTGGAAACAGATTTTTTTTTTTACATCCTAGGAGTTAGGAGACTGGGGTTAAAGTCATTTTCTATGTAATCTTGGGCAAAAAATTATTAAATTTTGAACTCTCTGGACCTTGCCTTTTTTTTCATGTATAAAAATGAGTGAGTTGGACCATTTGATCTCAAAGATTCCTTCTCATTCTAACAATCTAGAAGACTATATGGCATAGGAGAAATAACTTGGGATTCTGGAGTAAAAGGCTTTTTGGTCCCATTCAATTCTACATCCTATCATCTTATATTTTAACAGCAAACAAGGATTGGCTATGTATTTTCTGTCAGGGATGGGGACACCAAAAAGGCACTAAAAAAAAGTGGATCTTCAGTCCTATTATACTTATCAGTGAATGCATTTCCAGGGCAGAATTATTTGGTAGTTCCTGTTAGATAAGGTGTTGTGTCTATCAGACGCCCAACATACAACAAAAGCAAATACATGTACGTATACAAATATATATACATATATATCTATGGCAACAAAAGCATAGAGATACTTTTGTTGTATATATGTGTGTAGATACAAACACATACACATATATAATATTAGAAACATTTACTAATATAGTGTGTGTGTGTATGTATGTATATAAACAGGGTGTTCCAAAAGTCTTAATGCAGTTTTAAGCTACTAAAGCTTAATGAGTAAGTGAATACACACACACACACAGATACATATACATAAATGTGGAAATTTTTCATCCAATCACACAAAAGGTCACATTTCTGAATTTATAAAAAAAACAAAAACATTACATTGATATTTTGATTATAAGACCTAAACCATACTCCAATTAACTTTATCCATATCAACTCACTGGCAGCTACCTGTCCAAAAACAAAAAACCAAAAACAAAAAACCCAGGCAAGAGAAGTATCTTTGGACAAGGCACACTAAATAATACTTAACATAAGCACCTGAAAGTTATCACAAGTTCACAGGTATTATTACTTATGACACTACTGAAAAATAATCACGTGGATCACTGATCCTTGGTGTTAGAAAAATATTTAGACATTTATCTAGCTTAACAACTCATCTTCCAGATGAAGAAACTAGAACCAATGACATGTCTAATACCACACAGCTATTTTATTTAGAGAAAAACAGAAGCCAAGTTCTCCTGTCCAGTGTACAATCCTCTATGCTAAACAAAGTAGTAGTTTCCTATAAAACGAACTATAATACTAGTTAAGTAGCTTCAGTGAAGTCATCGAACTTTACGCTTCAAAGTGCCACCACCTCGGAGCACGCTAAAACATTTAACTAGCAAATCACGAGAGTCAAAGAGACAAGCACACTTAACCCTCACAAAATCAAGTCATGGCACATTTCAACAAAGAGTCAAAGCATGCTACGATTGGAAGGGACCTCAAAGCCTTAGCCTGAGACCTTCATTTTACAGATGAGGAAATTAAGCGCAGAAAAGTGAAATAACTTGCCCAGTGTTAGTAGCTTTCATTTGTAGGGACTAGAAAATAAGAGCGAAGGAGAGGTAGGGAGAAGGATCCCAACCTATTAGGGGAAACAAAAGAATGGTAAATTATGTTTCTTTCTGGAATGATACTTGATTCATTCTCAAGCACTGCTGCAGAGTAACAGTGTAGCAACAACTTTTCCTTTTTTGCACGGCTTTCTTAGTACGCAGATGACCTGCTGCTGCTGCTAAAGCACGACCGGCCTTGAAGTTGAAAGAAAAAAGAAAGGAACTGAAAACTTTTAAACGCATTTCCAGGGACTGGGAGAAAAAAATAGAAATAAAAACAATTTCCACTTCCTCCCCCTTTAGGCAGGAAGCAATCTGAAAACACTGGAAGGCGGGGGAGGACGGGTGGAGAAGGACACAAAGGAGGGGGGGGCTAGGAGGATAGGGAAGGCTAGAGAGGGAGGGGAGGGGGGTATCGCAGGAAGTACGGGCCGAGGCCGCACGGACCTCCCACTGTTCCAACAGCCGCGCCATGTCCGCATCGTTGTAATCGCGAATGTCCTTCTTCTTCCGAGGGGGAGGCTTGGCTGTGGCCTTCGTGTCCTCGCCCGCCTCGACCAGGCACGGCAGCAAGTCGGAGGCGCAGAGAAAAGCCACCGCCAACAGCAGCCACCTGGAGGCCGCCATTTTCTGGGCGAGACGGAGCGCCGGCGCGAACAAAGCCCCGCCCCCACTCCCCGGGGCCCGCCCTCTTCCTTCCTTTTCTTCCCTCTCCTCCCCAGACCTCGCCCCGCCCCCTTCCCCAAGGCCTCACTGATAGTGCCCGCCTTCCTTCTTTGTCTAGCCCCGCCCCTCACTCGCCTTACTCTCTTCGCCCCGCCCTCGTTCCATCAAGCCTCGCCCCATACTCCTCGCCACGCCTCCTCCCCTAATCCTGACTGCTCCCAATCCCCGCCTCCCTTCCGGCAGAGTCCCGCCCCGTCCCCTCATCACCACGCCCCTTTCCCCAGTCCAGTCCCACCCTGTCCCCGCCCTTCCCTTCCCTTCCCTTCCCTAGCCTCCTTTCTTTCAGCCGGCGCTAGTCAGTCCACCCGCCCATCCATTCTTCCTCTCTACTTTCTTCCTTGTTAACCCTGACTTTTCATTCATTTTCCAATTTGTTTCCTCTTAAAAAAAAAAAGTTACCGACAGCCGCACTCCCCACTCCCTTCAGCCCCTCAACCCTAAGGTCACCAGCCCTAAGGTCATCAGCCAGAATGACCTCTCCTCGGCATTCGATGCTATTGATCAAATGAGATCACATATAGGAAGTTCTTTATACACCTTTAAACTGTGAGCTCTCTGACAGCGGAACTGTCTTTTGCCGTTGTTTGGTTTTTTTTGGTATCCCCCCAGCACTTAGCACAGAAAGGTTACCCAGAGATAGAAATGGAATATTTGCTCCTAAAAATATTTTTTTTAATTAAAAAGAGAAATATCTCTTCATGTATAGAGGGAGGGACACAGCTACGCAGACACCGAGAGCCGATGAGGAAGAAGGAGGCTGACACGGAGAAGGGGTGATAGAGACAAGGAAGAGAGTATTCAGGGGAAGTTAGGAGTCAGTAACAGCAATGACAGTATTGTCAGTAACGTTTATTGAGCTCCTTACTCAATTCATCCTCTCCAGAGCTGACAAGAGTATATTCCACCTGAGGTCTGAGGGTGTCCCTCTCCTGCTCAATAAACTTCCATGGCCCTAAGATTAAATCCAAACTTCTCTGTTGGACATTGAGAGCCTTCACAGCCCGGCAGCAACGTCTGCCTATTGCACTGTTATACCTCCTTTCACTCACTCTTGGTCCAGCCAAACTGACTTTGTTGCTATTCCTCAATCTCTCCATGTCTGCATAGGCTGTACCCCATACCTGGAATTCATTCTGTCCTCTCTTCTACTTCTTAAAATCCCTAGATTCCTTCAAAGCTCAGATCAAGCACCATGTCTTAAATGAGGAACTTCCCTCTATACTTGCTAATACCTCCTCTCCCCTAATTATGTATTTTGTATATGCTTATATATATACATGTGGTTTCCCTCTGTCAGAACATAATCTCCTTGATAGAAGGGATTGTGCCATTTCTGTCTTTGCATCTGTAACACCTGACACACTAGGAACTTAATAAAACTTGTCAATTGGGGCAGCTAGGTGGTGCAGTGGCTAGAGCACTGGTCCTGGAGTCAGTATGTCCTGAGTTCAAATCCGGCCTCAGACACTTGACACTTAGTAGCTGTGTGACCCTGGGCACATTTAACTCCAATTGCCTCACCAAAAAAAAATAATAATAATACTTCTCTCAATTGATTGAGAGGAGTAGCCATTTAGGTCTCCAAAATGAACACCACACACCTATTGTTTCGAGGTGCGTGGATATAAGGAGGTGGTCTACTGGCTAAAAACAAAACAAAACAAAACAAAAACAAAATCCTGACTAGTTTTTCTGGGGCTTTTCAGGACAAAATCCCAACTGGAAATCATCCCTTTAATACTTCAATAGAGTTGTGATGCCATTGTTGGGGGCACACCTTCCATCCATACAGAGCTACCCATCCATAAGACTATAATCTCTGTTTCTTTGCAATGGTCTCTGAGGCATCTGTAAAGTATGGGTGATAATGTTATAGTTCCTAACTCACAGGATTGTTATGGCATACAAAAGAAATAAAGTATGTCAAGGCTTTGCAAACTGTAAAGCTCCACCCCCTAACTCATTTAAATTATGCCTGCCCCAATAGTGCAAAATTCCTGCATAATAACATGGATGTGAGTGTTACCCCTATGTTAAATATGATGGTTTCTTTGAGCTACTTCCTCATCTCTAAAATGAGAAGGTTCGACCAAAATCAATGGCTGCTTTAAACTTTCCTCATTTTGGAGCAGACCTTAAAAGTTTATCTAATCTAACTCTCCATCTTAAGCCTCTTTCTTAAAAGTTCAGATTAGTTGTCTCCCCCGCATCCCAAGCTTTCCCAGATCTCACCTTCCCCACTCCCACTATCAGTTCTGCCCACTTTCTCCTTCCTCAAATTAATTTGTATTTCTCTGTGTCAGTGTTGCACCAGCATCACAAAACATAAGCTCCTGAAGGACTAGAACTGTGTCCGTTTTTAATTTGAAAATAAAGACTGGTTTCATTTTTTTTTCTTTTCATTCCCCAAGACCTAGCACAGTGCCTGACACCTAGTAGAATGGGAACTTAGAATTGATGTAATACAACCCCCTCTTTTTACCGAGAATAGGTACTAATTGCTGATTGATTCAATCACATTACCGACACCTAGAAGAGTGCCTTTCACATAGGAAGCCCTTAATAAATGTTGGCCTGAATTATCTTTTTAGGAAGAAAACAAACAAACAAACAAAAAACCCTCTCCTAAGAAGACCAAAAAAGTCCATCCCTAACTCAATTCAAAAGTCAATTTGTTGTTGTTTTTTTATTGAAGTGTCTTTTCAAAACAATGGGTAATTTTTATTCATTATTTATTAGGGATGCAAAAAAAGATTTAAATAGACATTTTCAACGTTACTGTTTTTATTTGAATGCTAAAAGTTTGGGTTTTTTTTTTGGCATTTTAAAAACTTGCTTTAGTTAGTCCTGAATCAATTACCTTTTTTTTTCTGTACTTTGCAAGAAAGGTAGCTTAGTCCAGATACGTGCAGATATTTACCCATAAAGTCTAAAATGGCTACAGAAGTGAGGTGGAGGGAAGCATATGTCAACTTCTCTAGGCCTTTGTCCTCATCTATAAAGTGAAGAGATTGTATTCAAAGGCCTCTGAGGTCCCTTTTAGCTCTAAATGTATGATATTATGAATTACCTGTGTGACCTTAAATTAAATTTTATGCCCTTGGTGTTCTCATAATACAAAATAAGGGAGTTGAACTAGGAGATGATCTCCAAGCAGAGCAATAACTAGGGTGAGATGGGATAACTGGGGCTTTGTTTCAAGTGCTACAGAATTTAGAAGCCCAAAAAACTTTTAACAAAAGCTAACACAAGCCTAGGGACCTCCACTTTCCCATAAGCGTTGTAAGCAGCAATGTGTTTATGTATAAAAAGGTGAAGGCAGGAGGGGTAGAACCCTCACATTCCCTCCTCACAGGCAGTCCCCCAGCCCCCCACCTGCCAGGAATAATTGTCTTTTGAATACTGACTCTTTTCTTTTCTTCCAGGGATCACATTCCTAAAAACTGCTTCTTCCTTCAATTTACTACTCCACTCTGAGATTTTGTGCCTCCACTCCCTCAACTGTGCTTCTAACTCTCTCAAATAGATTTACTCTCAAGCAGCTGGATGAGGTACCTCATCCTGGACAAATTTAGTTCTGCCACGAGATTCCAAGACCAGTGGGAAGAATAGAAAAAATCCCTTCCTCTGCTACCCTTTAGTATAGATTCAGGGATTATATTCACAAAGTTTCTGCTGGCCAGGATTGATCCAAACTCTCAAGATGAATGGATTGACCCCAGGGATGTCAACCTTGGCTATTTAAAGGCCTCCAGGGATGTGACTAATTTTTAGAGAGCCAATTCTAAGTTCCATTTCAATCATCACTTCTTTTATACTTCATAAAGGGATCATATTTTTACAGTTTGGGCAGCCCTGGGCAAGTCACTTAACCCTATTTGCCTCAGTTTCCTCGTCTGTAAAATGAGTCAGAGAAGGAAAGAGCAAGCCGCTCCAGCATCTTTGCCAAGAAAACTCCAAATTGGGTCATAAAGAGTTGGACACTACTAAAACAACCCAACAACAACATTTTTTACAGTTTAGCACCTTATTAGCATATTAATGCTTCCTTCTGTTACCAGACCTTTTGCTTTTTGTAACATATAGAGGGTAGGATGCAGAAATCAATTAGTCAAAGATAAACTGCCACTTTGCACTATTCTGGACAATAAACATTTTTCATCCATTTGTTTTTTGCTGTGTAGAGAGAGAAGCCAAGTTTTCTTGAATGTGTATCTCATTAGGAAGCATTGCACTTTGGGGGCTCAAGGCAGTCAGCACAGTGTCAGTCACAAGTAGGAGCATATGGAAAAACTCAACATATCATTTGAACTTTACATTGGTTATCTTTCATGACAGCATCAAATACCTTTGGTAAGTATACATCTCCCTGTTTCATGCCTCCCTTAATAATAGTGATTAGAGTGTCACTGAACAATACTACATTTCTGTTGCGGCTTCCTTCAAGGAATCTTTAATGATCCTGACATACGTATGCAAAAAGGCCTGCTATGAGGAAAGCCTCTAAGGAGCCATTTTACTTTGTTGAATCAAATGTGTGTGTTTTTCTTTTTAAATTCAGTCAACAAATAAGCACAGTGGGATCTTGTATTCTCTCTATTTATCAGTCAATTATGTGATGGTAGTGAGACAATGGGGTGTAGTGAATAGACTTTGAGTCAATGGGACTTGGATTCCCAATTCCTCTTAATTCTAGTGCCCTCCCTCAGTTGATTATATCTTATTTATCCTGTATATTGCTTATTTGTACGTATTTGTTTATATGTTCCTCTCCCATCAGGTTATAAGCTCCTCAAGGGCAGGGACTGTTTTTTACCTATCTTGTATCTGCAAAGCTTAGCACAGTGCCTGACACATGATAGGTACCTTATAACTGCTTCTTGATTGACTGACTTGGTAGGTACCGGCAAGCCAAA